CACTTTAATCTGGTAGTTTTGACTTTATTCTCATAATTTTACGACATTATTCTCATAATCTTACAACTTTAATCTCTTAATTTTGTGGCTATTCTTGTTGCCACTTTAATCTGGTAGTTTTGACTTTATTCTCATAATTTTATGACTTTATTCTCTTAATTTTGTGGCTATTCTTGTTGCCACTTTAATCTGGTAGTTTTGACTTTATTCTCATAATTTTATGACTTTATTCTTGTAATTTTATGACTTTATTGTCTTAATTTTATGGCTATTCTCGTTGCGACTTTAATCTGGTAGTTTAATGACTTTATTCTCATAATTTTATGACTTTATTCTCATAATTTTACGACTTTATTCTCATAATTTTATGACTTTATTCTCATAATTTTATGGCTATTCTTGATGTCACTTTAATCTGGTAGTTTTATGACTTTATTCTCATAATTGTACGACTTTATTCTTGTTATTTTACTTAATTTTAATTTTTTTAAAAATCTCCAGCCTGGCCCCTGACACTCCGTCATGCCATACTATAGGATCCATCTGCATGTATATGGATTTTCTTGGTTAGTTCATCCACTGACTGTAACATTTCCTGTGGAACGTCGTCCTGCAGCCAGAAAACAGCTTGTTTTTGCATTAAAGTGTTGCACATGTAGGCATTTTCACTGCACGTCTCCGTGGGAGTGGGGAGTACCAACATGGCGGACGGCGGCTTCACTTTTTTTGGGCAATCAGCAACCTTGTGAATAAATAGAGGGGAATAAAACTAATGACTACTAAATAAAGAATAACCAAGTGTAACACTAGAGGATAAGAGAAGGAATTGGAGATAACTGAAGCCATGGAAAACATCACTTCAGAATAACTATCACTAAAACTAGAACAAGGACTGGGAAACACCAAAGTAAATAAAAGTAAAATAACATAATTTAGTTTTAAATCACCTCATAGTTCTTTATATTTTCCATTTACACATTTAAAAAAAAAACAATATAGAACAAGTCCTCTCAGGTGTAGTTTTTGTCAAAAGGTCCTAAAAACCTTTTTAACAAAAGTCTATGATATTTACAGGATATAGGAAAAGATAAAAACCTCTCAGCTTTTGTTTTATTAAATCTGAGTGAATGAAAGCGTTTCTCCTGCATATTTTAGATGCGTCTTTGTTTCCACACCGGAGCCCTACTAATAACCTGGTTATTTCACTCAGCTGTGTTCAAGCAGCTGTAAAAAGTGCAGAAAGGTGCAGGAGCTAAAAGGAGGAACCCTGATATAGATGTTGCTTCATGATGACTGTGTGGCCCTGGGCTCACAGTGGGCTTCCTGCTTTACACCCACTAATAAGACGTCAAATAACTGTTGTGCATACCTGTATAAATATATTTTTGTACATTTTAATAACAAATTATAAACATGCATGAGTGGCTGTGCTTTGTAACAGATATGCATCCTATTAGAATAGTGTTTTACTCTTAATCACACTGAGAATATTTAAATAAAATGAACCCTTTGTTTGTTCTCAGCAAAAAAAGAACAAACTGTAAAAAATTTGTTCAATATTCAGAGAGTAAAAGTTGATTAAATTGACTCTGTGCCTTCCAACAAATGTCACTGAGAGGAGCTGTGGACCGCCCCAAGATGGCGCCACCAAATCACGTCAGCGCCGTGAAAGCGACCCCGCATCAATCGCCGGGAAAGCGATTGATGCGGGGTCTTCTGTCATCTATACATTCAAACAAAAGGGAAATCATTCTGTTCTTTTACCATCTTTCTTCTCTGGCGTACATCTCCTGCGATGCATTGTGGGAGCTGGAGGCGCGCCTCTAGGTTGAGCCACGCCCCGATCTGCAGTCTGCAGTCAGGAGGAGAGCGGATTCAAACAGCTGCAAGCCCCGCCTTCTCCTCCGGCAAACATATAAATAAGACCGAGCGCTCCCGCTGCTTCATTCTGCTTCCTACAGCCCATCCTTGCACGTCGGCACAAAGGAGACAGACAGCCTAAAAATGGTGAGTTAAACACGGAAGGACGGATGATTAGCAGCTAGTAATAAAGAGAACCTTTAAATAACGTTATAGTTAATTTATATAGGTGCGTAGGGACATTTTTTATGTTTCTGGTTAGTAGAGTCGAACAAGGCCCAAATGGCGCAGTTTAAAACTAAGAAAAAAATGCGTTTTACTGCTCGGCATTTCAGATTTTTACTTCTAAATTAACCGGTATTGACTATATTTTTTCCTAGGTTAAAAAAAAAAGGTTTCATTTGTTTTAAGGGGAAATTAAAGCGGTAACTGTTTTAGGCGGCTAGATAACGCCCCACAGGTCCGTGAACGTTACATAGCGGGAGGGGGGAGCAGGGAGGAGCTGATTTTCTTGCTGCGCACACTGGGGTTTTGGCGGCAGGAGGAGGGGGGGGTTAACTCATGTGACCCAGTTAGAGCGTGATCCAACAGGTTTCTACAACGAGGCACCTAAGAGAGGAAGTGACGACACGGCGGCTCAAATGGTGCGTTCAAATAACAGCGCGGATATCGGAAACTAGGAATTTGAAACCACATTTATGCTAATCAGTAACGGAATCCTTCGGTTAACGGGAAACTCATCGAACCATGAAGGATGGACGGAACCCCGCAGCTTTTATTTATTTATCAGATCTTTTGTTTTCATTGGCGCCGTTTGTAAAGTGAAGCAGTCAAACATTAGGAGCAACATTTGTGGTTATTTGGCGCGTTTTAAGAGAATAAGGGTTACACCCCCCCCCCCCGGTCATTTTTTTCGCTATGACATTCATTTATTAAAATCTTAATTTGTTAAATATAAATAATAAATATTTAGCTTCAAACTAAATATTTAGTTTGTTAAATAATTATTTACTACCGAACTACATATGTAAATTCCCTTTCCAAAAAGCGGAAGTGAACTACCAAAGTAAAAGCCTGGGAATCTCTATACTATTTATGCTAAATATTTAGCTTGCTAAATGTTTTCATTTGGAGCTAAATATTTAACAAAGTAATATTTTTATAAGTGAATGGATTTGGTGAAAAATTTATAGGAAAAAAAATTCTTAAAACACTATAAATGACTATAAATAATGTTTAAAATGTTTGACTGCGCAACTTTACAAACGGTGCCTTTTTTTTTTTTTGAAAATTCCTGTTAACCCATGTCCTACAATCTTAAAAACAAGTTGTTTATTTGACAGGATTAGAAAGTCTCATAAAGAGATGTCGTCATCTGAAGCGGTTCAATCATCAGTTTCATATTTTCTGGTTGATTTGGAGTTTTTAAAAAGTGCCTCATCACCTTCCTCTCCTCCACAGCGTGAGTGTATTTCAATGCATGTCGGCCAGGCCGGAGCCCAGATGGGCAATGCATGCTGGGAGCTCTACTGCCTGGAGCACGGCATCCAGCCTGACGGTCAGATGCCCAGCGACAAAACCATTGGAGGTGGAGACGACTCTTATAACACCTTCTTCAGCGAGACCGGATCCGGAAAGCACGTCCCCAGAGCCATCTTTGTGGATCTGGAGCCCACTGTGATCGGTAAATCCTGCCTGCCTGATTTCTCACATCTAATCTGAAATTAATCCAAACCAGGGAAAAAAAAAACCTTAAGTGTCTCTATTGTTCCGCAGATGAGGTTCGTACAGGAACCTACCGGCAGCTCTTCCACCCGGAACAGCTGATCACCGGCAAAGAGGACGCCGCCAACAACTACGCCCGCGGTCACTACACAGTCGGCAAGGAGATCATCGACCTGGTTCTGGACAGAACTCGCAAACTGGTGGGTTTGAGTTCCTGTTTCTCTCTGAATGAACCCTGCTGAGATTTTATAAAAATCTTAGCTTGTAAAATATTTATTTAGCTAGCTAATATGCATATTCCCATGCTATAAAGCAGAAGAGAACTACCAAAGTAAAAGCTTAAGTTCTGAGTTTTTTTTTTTTCTCTAATACTGAGATAAAATTAAAAAATGGGTTGACATTTTTAATTTTTCTTGAGCCTAATCCTCTTCCGTAGAGCTCTGACACTTCTTTGTTCCCCATTTAGGCCGACCAGTGCACGGGTCTCCAGGGTTTCCTCATCTTCCACTCCTTCGGCGGAGGAACCGGCTCCGGCTTCACCTCCCTCCTGATGGAACGCCTCTCTGTCGACTATGGAAAGAAGTCCAAGCTTGAATTTGCGGTGTACCCGGCTCCTCAGGTGTCCACGGCTGTGGTGGAGCCCTATAACTCCATCCTGACCACGCACACCACCCTGGAGCACTCGGACTGCGCCTTCATGGTGGACAACGAGGCCATCTACGACATCTGCCGCAGGAACCTGGACATCGAGCGCCCCACCTACACCAACCTGAACAGGCTGATCGGGCAGATCGTCTCCTCCATCACCGCCTCCCTGCGCTTCGACGGCGCCCTGAACGTGGACCTCACGGAGTTCCAGACCAACCTGGTGCCGTATCCCCGCATCCACTTCCCCCTGGCCACCTACGCCCCGGTCATCTCCGCCGAGAAGGCGTACCACGAGCAGCTGACTGTGGCTGACATCACGAACGCCTGCTTCGAGCCGGCCAACCAGATGGTGAAGTGCGACCCCCGCCACGGTAAATACATGGCCTGCTGCCTGCTGTACAGGGGCGACGTCGTTCCCAAAGACGTCAACTCCGCCATCGCCACCATCAAGACCAAACGCAGCATCCAGTTCGTGGACTGGTGCCCCACCGGCTTCAAGGTGGGCATCAACTACCAGCCGCCCACCGTGGTACCCGGCGGCGACCTGGCCAAGGTGCAGCGGGCGGTCTGCATGCTGAGCAACACCACGGCCATCGCAGAGGCCTGGGCGCGGCTCGATCACAAGTTCGACCTCATGTACGCCAAGCGGGCCTTCGTCCACTGGTACGTCGGCGAGGGGATGGAGGAGGGCGAGTTCTCAGAGGCCCGGGAGGACATGGCCGCCCTGGAGAAGGATTACGAGGAGGTGGGAACCGACAGCGTTGGAGAGGAAGACGAGGGAGAAGAGTACTGAAGTGTCCCCGCTGAGCTTCCGTCACAATCGGTCATTTTAGGTTGTGCCTTCAATAAATGAAACGAAATAAAAACCTGCCTGCTTTATTCTTTCACATCCACTCATTCAGACGCAGGAAGTCTAACATTTGTTGCAACACTGAAACAAAACTTTATTTTTAATGTATCACCATACAAAATAGCATCTTTTTTTTTTTTTATATATATATATATACTTTTATCTTGCTTTGAGGTAAACGACTAAATACTCAGACAGGATGAGTCGATGGCACAGAGGGTCAAAGTTCACAGGAGGAAATTTGGTTTAATCCAAAATAAAACCACAAGACTTTAAACCAGGCGGACTAGAAGCTCATGGTGCATTCAGATCCGATGGGTTCACCTTTATCTTCTGGATGTCCCTGAACACATCGGTGGGGGGGGGCAGCAGACGGTCACTGGGGCAGAGCTTTGAGGATGGCGTTCACCTCCTCCGCCACCGCAGTCAGAGCGAACTCAAACTGGTCCTGAGGAGGAAAACGGGTTAAACTGGAGCCTGGATCAGATCCCTCTGCTGGTTGCCATGGTTACCACAGGTTATTAAAAATAAAGTCATTAAATTAAGTCCTTAATTGGCATTACAATTCATTAAATGATCAGGACATTTAAAAGGCTGCATGGGGGGAGGGATACAATTAACCCCTTAAAGGGCAAATTAAAAGCCAATAGTTACTGGAATCCAGGACAAAACCTTATCTCCGTACCTGGAGAGAACCCACACTGGCACAGGGAGAACATGCAAAAAGACCCTGAACCTTGCAACTTTTTTTGATTTTATAAAAGATCCAAAGCTGATTAATTTGTAATCTCAGAGAAATTAATCTTCCTGCTGCAGGTTTTGGAAATAAAAACATATTTGATGCTAATTGCAGCATCACTGATTGTATATTTAATGTTTTTTTCAGCAGATAACCTAATAGACAGGAAGGTATTAAATGTGACACAGCAACACTGTGAGCAGAGGGCCTGTGATGTCACAGTGCCACCTACTGGTAGGATGAAGTCGGCCAAGCTAATAGTGTTACTGGAATCCAGGAAAATACCTTATTACCTTTGTAAATTTAAAATATGGAGATTTTGATGTCAAAAAAACGCTAACTTGCCCAGATATATTAAGAAAAACAACAAAAATGCTTCTAGAAGAAAGAGTGAAAGAAACATTTTATTTTGGTCCAACATAACCTTAGAGGCATTAATGCTGATTCTGGTACTTACATTTTTTTAGTTTGTAGCTGGACTTATTAACTTTTTAACTTTTCAATTAGCTTTTTACCTTTTTTTCTTGACTTTTTTTTCCAACTTCATTTCCCGTAGGTAATATATCATTCAAGAGCTCATCTAATTAGTCAAATACCATAAAAAGATGCACAGCCATGTAGTAATAGTAAAGGATTTTGTCGTATTTATATACAAGAGACATGGGTACCTTTTGATGGCTGTTGGAGCTATTTATTTTTTATTTCTTTTTCCATTTGAATTGTATTCATTCCTAAATTTATATTTTTTGTATTATTTAGAAAGCTTATTTACAGGTTAATAATTGATTTTATTTATTTTTGTTTTATTATTTTTCTTTATGAATTGTTCTGAGGTATGACAGGAAGTAATGTGGGTCAGACCACTTTCCATAAATGTAGGGTCCTGGGAAAAGACCAGCAGGCATTTTGGGTTTGGGGTCTATGGTTTTTACCAGAGCAAGAGAGGTAGGATAAAAGAAAAGTTTGTTTTCTTTAACTGTTGGCAAAAATAGAAAATAAATCATCCAGAACCATCATCTTTTTGCCTGCGTATAGAAACTTCACCCCAGTGCCTTAATAGTAGCTTAAAGGAACTTTAATTGGATGTTTGGCAAACAAGCACCACTACAATGGTATTAAAATATAATTAGTCATTCCTGTATAAACCCTGGTTGGACAGCAGGGGGCAGTGTTTCTTCTTTATTGAACAGTTTAATGATGTTTTGGGGGCTTCCTTCCAAATTTAAACATGTTCAGGGATGATATTAAAGGTCTTTTTCTTGCCTTTCATGAATCTATTGATAAATATTTTAACATTTTACTTTTTATATTTATCCATATTTTTATCTTAAGTGTATATATTAGTATATTTTTTGCATGCCTTATACCCTAGTGTTTTTTTAGAGATTTTTATAATTTTATTTACTATTTCATATATGTTTCATGTTGCACGACTGTACCACAAAAATTTCCTAGTTGTGAACCTCTTCACTAACAATGGCAATAAACCCGATTCTGATTCTGATTCTGAAAATTGGAGACTGATTAGTTTATTAAATGTAGATTATACATCCTTATTAAATGAAGCATGTCCACAATTATTAGTGAATCACAATCAGGCTTTCTTAAAAATACGATCCACTGATAATATCAGACTTAAGACGGGTTTATCTTATTTCTGGACTTTATTCTTTTTAAAACTTTTGACACTGAGCATTTTTACTTTTGGTAATAAGTTTTGTGACCTAATTAAGGTCGTCTATAGTGATACTAATAGCTCTGTTTTACTTCCCTCTGGAACTAGTGAACAATTTGAATTCGTTCCACATCTCACTATTTATCCTGGTTGCTGCAGTGCCAGAAAATATGATAAATTGAATGTAATGGGAAACACATTTGGGTCACACATCGGCAGTGAGTCGGCTGGCAGACCATGCAACTCCTTTCCTTTAAAAATGAAGCATTAAAGTCCTGCACAGAAAAACATAATTCAACCGTTTTTGGCATTTATTTATGCAAACAGCAGGGTAGGACATAAAACAATTGTGTTAAAGTAACTAAATGCGATCAACATTTTAAAGGGCAAGTTAGCGTTTTTGATCCCTTACAAATGGTCCATTGTTTTGGTAGAATCCTGTTGTCTAAAATGGAAGTTCTCTCTGGGATTATTTACCCTGCGGACTCAATATGCCTCAGAAGATCATTAAAATTAATCAGAATAACTTTATCTGGAGGAAAAGACATCATTATATGAGTAATAATTATATTAAATCTGTAGGAGAAGGTGATCTAAATGCCATTATTGTCTTTGATTCAATGAACGGTGCCATAAAATAAAGATGGCTACAACATTTTATCCATTATCTTGCTAACTTTGCTAACTCCCTGCAAAACTTTCTCTGAATTTGGTGGCATTGATTTTTTACTGAAATGCAATTTTGAAGTAGATAAATTACTGGTTAATTTATCCAGATTTCCTGAAATGAAAGGGCAAATACAAACATTTTAACAATTTTTCACTTATTTCTAGATTGTTTTTGCAGTGCCTGTCTTCTACACTGGAAAAAAATCAGAATCTAAATAAGTCATTTTTTCTTAAAATAAGTGCATTTGCTCTTGGATTAAGGAGATAAAAGTCACATTTTGCCAATGGAACAAGAAAATTTACATTTAAAGTAAGAAAACACAATTGCATTGTCTTACTTCAAGTGCATGATATCAAATTATCTTATTTTAAGAGTAAAAGATACTCATGCCATTGGCAAACTATCCAATTTACCTTCTCAAATTAAGGGTAAATACATTTAATTTAAGACATTTTTACTTATATCTAGATTGTTTTTCCAGTGTAGCATCTCTTAGGTTTCACACTGCAAAAAAATTGAAATCCATTTAAGTCATTTTTTCTTAAAATAAGTTAATTTTTCTTGAATTTAGGAGGTAACTGAGACACTTTGCCAATGGAACAAGTGTATTTACATTTAAAATAAGAAAAAACCAAACACATTGTCTTATTCTAAGTGGATAATATCGTATTAACTTAATATAGGAGTAAAAACATACTGGAAAAATGATCTACAAATAAGTCAAAATGTCTTAAATTAAGTATATTTATCCTTAATTTGAGTTGGTGCACGTATTTTAAGAAAAAAATACTTATCTAGATTTCGTTTCCGTTGGCAGATCATCATATTTACCAACTCAAATTAAGGCCAAATACACTTAATGTAAGACATTTTGCTTGTAGATCGTTTTCGCAGTGCAGCACAGAAAGTTCTGTCCGAACTCACCTTGGTGCGAACCATCCCAGGCCGCTGATCCCTGACGTGCTCCAGCGTGGCGGCGATGTCGATCTCCTTCACCCCTGCAAGAAAACAGACTCAAAGCTTCACTCCCCTGAAACCCGGAGGGTTCGTTTACCTCTGAGGGGGTTCTACTGCACCTTTAGCCATGCGGTTCAGAACCATGTCGATCAGGATGTAAGTCCCAGTCCGACCAGTACCGTCGCTATGGAAAAACGATGAGGAAAAGTCAAAATCCTGCAAATGGTTGCATGTTGACATGAGTATAATGTTATGTCATCGGCTTACCTGCAGTGCACGATGATGGGGCACGACCGTCCTCGATAACATTTATTCACCTTCCTGAGAACAAACATTCGAACGTGACCAGATGAGAGGAAACAAGAAGGGAGACAGTAAAGCAATGAAGCAGGAGGATGAAAAAGGGGTCCCTGTGTCCTCCAGCAGTCGAAGCCTATAGCAGCAGAACTATTAGAGCACCGCAATATGGCGCTGTCCTTGCCATAAACTTTATAAACTAATGCAAATTTTTAAAAATTTGTTTAGAATTTTCATGTTTGTAACACATCCAGTCCAAAGTTAGTCCTACAGGGTCCCACAAGGCTCAATTTAAGGGCCCCTGCTCTTTTCTCTGTATTTGCTGCCACTGGGTTCCATACTGTGAAGACATGGGGTTGATTTCTATTTCTCTCCACAGTTTGTCACGTTATAATAACAACCTTCCAGGGGCGGATTTAGGAAAACTTGGGGCCCTAGACAACACATAAAACAGCCCCATTCTACAGATAGAGAAATGTTAATAGAATAGACATCCATTATCTGTTCTAGGTTTTGTTCCTCTCTTCTTGTTTTCCTTTCTATGTTTTGTACTCAGCTGACTTTGGCGCTAGGCTTACCGCACCGTGACGTCACTGCTGGAAGATGTCAGGAGGGAGGGGTTACTATATTTGGGAAAAAATGGCCGCTCCCAGACTCAGTGATCGAGATAAAAATTAGACTTTTTTTACTGATTAACACTAAATTCATAAAATCACCTCACACCGGAACTTTCCCTTAAGCAGAATCTGAAAAGTGTGGGCTGGAGGAAACCACAATCAGCATCCCGAAAAATAAAATCTTTTCACTTTGAGCTTGTAATGTGAGGAATTTAAAAAACTTATGAATACTTTCACAAAGAAGCATGGCTGATTGGAATAGTCTGAGCGCTCTAGTACCGGCGGAAGTCCAGCAGGGGGCGTGTGGACGTGGGGATCCCCTTCGCCGGCCAGCTCAGGAAGTGGAACTGGGTGAGGGTGCGGGTCTCCTGCGTCTGCACGTTCTTCAGGTAGAAGCTGCGAACCAGGAAGTCGTTGCACCAGATGTGTTCTGACACCAAGTTGACCTGTGGAGGGAGGAAGGACGACCTGTAACGCCTGACGACCCAAACGTCTCCTCCTTTACGTCAAACACGCACCTCGTAGATGTGGTAGAGGGAGGAGCCCTCATCGGGCCAGTAACGGTCACACTGCTTCTCTCCGTCCTCCACCAGAGCCGTCATCATGACGATCACGGTGCAGCCGTTCTCCCACACCATCTGCAGAAGAACCGGGACAGTGCGGCCATGACACCTGATCATGGAGGGAACCTAAACCGAGTCGGGAGCTGCTTACAGCTCAGAGACAGAAAACTAGCAAGAAAATTCATTCAGTACATTCATTTATACCTTACAACATCCCAACACACACACACTACCCTCAGGGGAACCAACCCACCCCCGGCATAAAGAACTTTCCAACTTGAGTTCATTAAGGCTGTTCCCTGTTAGGTTAATCTATCTTCCACTGGTCAGATGGATCTCCTAATAACAGCAGTCCTTCCCTTATGCCATGAAGGAGGCTGTGATTCTCTCATGACCTTCGTTTGGAGCCCGTGAGGCTAAAAACAGACATATCTCAACATTTTTTACTCCACAGCTCACCTGCCAGAAGTCGGAGATGGTGTGGGACAGGGGCCCCTGGGTGGCGATGTAGGCCGGCATCCTGGGGTCGTGTTCGATCTGCAGGTTCAGAAAAAAGTCCAAACGGACGTCAGAACCACCAGAGATCCAACTTTAAGGTTCTTCAGATCTGTGGAGACTCACAATGGTGCTGGCATTGATGTAGTCGGAGCGCGAAGGGTTGCTGTCTGCTTTCAGCTTCACCCTGGAGTGATCGTCTGCAGAACATGGCCCAGTAAGTTCTGGTTCCACCAGTTCTGCTCCATAAATACCTCTGTTTGAGCTTTAAAGTTAGGGCGGATCCACTCACAGGGAACCGAGTCGGGGCAGCGGTTCTTCTTGGCGTTGGAGTCGCTCTGAGCCACCGATACGGAGCTGGGTTCTGCCTGGTAGGAGCACAGAGCCTCCCACTCCTTCATCAGCCGGTCCTTGTTCCGCAGGTGGTCCTCCATGTAAGCCTTAAAGGAGTCCAACGGGACCAGAACCACAGCGCAGATACAATATATTAACATTTGAAGCCTTTACTAAAGCTGCCGCCCTGAATCTGAGCGGAGCTTTAGCTCAGCAGAGAGGAAAGGGGAGGGGCCTAACAGAAATGAGCGTTTAGGGATAAATTGTTTCATTTAGAGGAACTAAATCAGTTTCAGGTTCTGACCAGGATCATGTGACCCGTGGAGATGTCCATGTTGGCCTGCGCCGGCTCCTCGCACCAGGACGGCGTGCTGCTGTGGGAGCTGGGACTGGGCTGGGCTCCGTCGCTGAACTGGGACGACACACTGCTCACCCTGGAGTCCGCCCCGCCGCCTCCTGCTGCTCCGGCTCCCCCTGCTGCACCTCCTCCGCCTCCGCCGGCTCCGCCCGCTCCTCCCACCGCGCCCAGGGCGGCGGCCTCCAGCCGTCCGAAGGCGCCTTTGGAGGCCATGTGCTGGCGACACAGGTCCTGGTGAGCACGTTGGCATGCATCGTGATGTTACAGCTACTTCAATACAACACTGGAAGCTTTAGAGAAAACATCCTAATTCGTGACGAACGTCCAGAAGAATAACTTTATGATGTGATATCCAGATACACTTTCTGTTAGAATACCCAATATTAGGATATAAATTAATATAATCCAATTTAAAGTCGTAGGGAAGCGGCTGTTCCAACCGTTGCATTTCCGAATTCAACCAAGTGGTGCCCGACTTTACACGAGTGAATAAAGTGAATGCGATTGGTCGATTATCAAGGGGGCGGGATTCTTGTGGCGGAAGGTCGCAAGCGCATTTGATTGTAGCCGGTTTGTCGGATGCATCTTGCTAACCAGTTAGCAACTTAGTGCTAGCAGGTTCCCAATGGGAAATTCCATTGGGACCAAGTAGCACTAAGGCCCCGTCCACACGAAGTCAAAACGAACACGAAACGCTAATATTTTCCAGAACGTTTGTCGTAAAGACGGAGACGTAAAATAAATGTGATCGTCCACACGAATGCATGAAAACGCTGCAAAATGTATGCCAGGCCTGTAAGTGGCGCTGTGGTGCCAAAGCAAAAATAGGCGACGAAATGTTGGGCATGCGCACTAATATTTATACATGGTTGCCCTGCGGGTCCATTTTGGTGGTTCAGTCAAATTCAGGTGCTGAACTATGTGGTCGATATTGCTCTGTTCTTCCTGGAGATATTCCAGAAGAAGAAGATTCTGTTGTAAGCCCGACAGCAGGGTGAGTAGCATGAGCAGCAACCATTCAACACAGTACGGCGCCATTGTTGTTGTGATACTGTGTCGCGCATGCGTGTTTAGAGGCGACGCTATGACGCATGCGTGTAAAAAAAAAATGCGGTTAGAGCGTAAAGATGGAAACGCGAAAACGGCGTTCCAAAATCTTCCCACTCTGAAGGCTTAATAAAAAAAAGATCGTTTACAGACCCCCGAAACGCCGGCTTCGTATGGATGAGAGGCTGGTTTGGTGAAAAAGTTGTGCGTTTAGGCCAGGGTTTGACTTCGTGTGGACGGGGCCTTAGAAACGACGCTGTCAAGGAACGCTATGGACAGCGGAAACATGCAAGAGGAGGAGAGTTTAGTGTCGGAGGTCGTGGATGAGTCTCCTCCGTCATCCATTTTTTATTTAGAGGAGGAAAGCGGGGACGAAGATGTTGTGGAAGAGGACGCCAGGGCGGCAGAAGCTTGGTTTGGTGTAGAAGGCGTACATGTTTGAGCCCTTGCCTCGCAACGCTGCCAGTTCTGTTAGCTCTACGCCTGCTGAAGACACAGACGTCCATCCCAGTGGACACTGGGACGCAACTCAATGGGAAAGGAAAGGATTCTGGTTTCAACCGTTGCGTATATTAGCTGACATATGAATCAAGATGCTATGACTGAAAACATTTGATTGACAGATGACTGCTGATATATGATTGGCTGAATTTAGGGGTTCAGGCTGACGTAGAACTAACTGGCCTGCAGAAGATAACAAAGAAAAAAACATAGAAATTTCCTAACTTTTGGGACAATATCGTCTGATAAAGAGTACATTTATCTACATATTTAAGCCAGAATGATTTGACATTTAAATATGTTTTTATTTTATTCATCTTAATTTATTCTGCAGTGAATAAATTTGTTTCTGTTGACTGAACTGTCGTATTTTTATCTGTTTGATCCAGAGATCAGATCTGCATCTTTTATTTTGTTTCTCTTCCTTTTCTAATCGTCTGTAAGGAGTCGAACCTTTGATGATGGTTGAGTTTTGGCGCATAGCGGTGGTTTGGACCCCCTCACCTGGTACTCCTGGTGGCTGAAGGCGCCCCCCTCGGGTCCCAGGCCCAGCTTCTTAGCTGCCAGCCGATGGGCGTGGTGACGCAGGCAGGCGATGGTCATGGCCGCCACCAGGATGCCGCCGATGCACGCCATGGACACCAGGGTGGCGAACACCCAGCGGGAGCCCGGCTGGACTTTGGTTGCCAGGGGCAACGACTTCCCCTCATTTATCTGCACGGCGTGGGGGAGAAAACACACTTTTTATCTATTAAAAAAACTGATCTTCAGCTGGACCGACACCTTCAGAGCTGAAGGGAAGGTTTTTAATCCTGGGTTTAGATTAGGAGAGATTAACAGAGATTAGACAGTAAGGTATTAGTAACATCCAGAGGTGGTGAAAGCATTATCTCTTTTGTTTTGAAATGAGCTTCATGTTTTTCAGTTGGAATGCCTCCGCTCCATCACCCTAATCTGGCTGTGGGACCATGGGCTCTCACCTGTTCAGCGCCGCTCTGAAGGACCTTTAATCCCGTCTCTGATTCCAGGAAGTTCTTCTCTGCGACTAAAACCAAAGACATGATCCATGAGCAATAAGAGATTTCCTCGTCTCCAGGCTCCACCTCCTCTAAGCTCCTCCTCGCTGTTTCAGATCCTCCTACCAGGAGCCGGTTCTCCTCTCAGCTGCGCATCCTACCTGCTTTATCTGCAGCGTCTGCAGCCGTCAGGTTCTTGGCGTTTGGTCTGATTCTGAAGGTGACGGCCGGTCCGACCACGCTGCAGAGGAGGAAACAGGATTAACCATGAACACGCCCAGACTCTGATGCTTTCATCCGGTTTAATGATTCATCTGTTATTCATTTTCCTCCAGATTTTTATAATTTATGCAAAACTGTTTGTTTTTAATCCCCAAATGATTCCAACCTGTAAACAATTAAAAAAACACTTTTCCGTCAATTTTATTTATTTTTTTCTTTTTTGAAAGATAAAAAAATGTATAATTAAATAAATAAATATTCATGAAAACAACATTTTATTTTGCATCATTTTCTTTATAATGTATTTATTTACATTTTCAAATAATTAATGTTATTTAAAATTATTTAATTTTAATTTAGATTTTGTCTTTTGCTTTTATGTTTTTGTTTTTGTTGAACAACAGCGTTTAAAATGTAGATTTTCAAGGTTTTTATTTTTATGTAAATCGTACAGAAAAAATGAAATGATCAAATAAAAAATAAATTTCAACCCTTTTTGACATGAAATACAAACATTTAAAGATTTTTATTTATTCTTTATTTTTTTATTTTATATTTTTTACATATAAAAAAAAAATAATAATAATATAAAAAATATATATATTTTTAAATTTAAATAACTAAAATAAAATAATGTTTTTTTTTTAACAAGTCTCTTGATTTAATACTCTAGTTTTTGTGATTCTGTAAAAATGATTTTGTTGCATAAGATAAAGAAGTTTTATTGAGTTGATCAGGATTAAACCGTTTCGTTTTCTTATTTTAAGTGTAAATGTTCTTGCTTATTGGCAAAATATCACTTTTATCTCATCAATCCAAGAACAAATGCTCTTATTTCAAGAAAAAATGACTTATCTAGATTTATCCAGTGTACTGACTGGAAAAATTATCTTAAAAAAAGTAAAAAAGTGTATTTATTCTTACTTTGAGTAGGAAAATGAGATAGTTTGCCAATGGAATGAGTATTCTTCACTCTTAAAATAAGATAATTAGATAAAATGCACAGGAAATAAGACAATGCATTTGTGTTTTCTTATTTTAAATATAAATTGTCTTGTTCCATTGGCAAAATGTCTCTTTTACCTTCTCAATCCAAGAACAAATGCATTTATTTTAAGAAAAAAATGACTGATCTAGAGTTCAATTTTTTTCCAGTGCTGACTGTTTATTGATGTTCTCCATTCGGTAAACATGGCTTCCTGTCTGACCTCCATGAGGGTCAAATTTAAACCAGAGAAGAAGAGCAGCAGGTAAACAGATGAGGATGAAAGTTGGAGGTAAAGCTGGAGGAACGATGAGGAAAACCAGGAAACTTTCCCAGTTTGTCTTTGCAGCGGCTCGTTCTTTACACTGGAAAAAACTAATTCTAATTAAAATAAATGAATTTTTTCTTAGACTGAGGAGGTAAAAGAGACATTTTGCCATATGGAACAAGACTATTTACACTTAAAATAAGGAAACACAATTGCATTGTCTTATTTTAAGTGCATTTTATCTAAATTAAATTCTCATTCCATTGGCAAACTACCTCATTTACCGATGCAATTTAAGGGTAAATACACTTAATTTAAGAAATTTTAACTTATTTCTAGAACTTTTTTCCAGTGTAAGCGCACGCTGCTGACCTCTGACCTCTGACCCACCTGATGTTGACGACGGCGGCGGCGGAGAGGCCGATCCTCTCTGACAGCAGCTGCAGCAGACGCACCCCGTCGTTCAGACTGAGGGGGCTGCAGCGACAAACACACACATGGACACACACACACCCATTTAACTCACACACACACACACACACAGAGGGGGGAGGGGTTTAAACTACAGACCCAATCGCAGCTCTAAGGCACCCCGGCAGCCTCGCCTCGGTCTCTGATCATGTCCTAGAAGCAAACACCCCCTGACTCTCAGGACGCTTCACCACCTCTACCGGACTTCCTGGTTTCTGACAGGAAGTCCCGCCCCTGATCCTCTCTGCTGGTTTCTGGCTTCCTACTCAGGGCGACAGGAAGCCATCCCTTCTCTCCAAACATTAACTTCCTGGTTCTCCATATTGCTCCATTCTTCCACCTCTATCGCCTGCCTAATTCACTCCCCCTCTTCTTCTTTTCCTTTCCTCCTCTCTGTCTTTAGACCATTTTTGTTTTCTTCTTCTAAAAGTAAAAATCTTTCCAAGCAGTTTTCCACATTTTCTCTGCCTGACGTGACGAACAAACAGACAAACTGATCGACTGGTTGATCATCCAGGAGGTTAAAGCTGCTGTACCTCTGATTGGTGACGATGTACCCAAACTCTCTGTTCTGATTGGCTGCCTCAGGCGGAGTCGCCTCCCTCTGCTCTCCTCCACCTGCTTTGGCGGCGGGGGGCGGAGCCTTCTGGATAACAGTCTTGTACGCCGTCACCGCCTCTGTGAGCTGATTGGTGGAAACAAATGTCATCAGCTTTGGCTTTTTCTGATTTATTTCACCAACCTTGATGCTGATTTAGGGGTTGCTATGGAAATGAAGGAGCCCACAGCACCACTACTCATCAGACGAAAAGATATTTTCCAGTTCCTATTAACAAAATATATGATCTATTGGAATAAAATCATGGAAAGGTGAGAATCAGCATCTGCTGGTGATCGCAGGTCTGTAGATATGACACGTAAGAGACTCCAGTGATTATATTTTTTTCTCTCTCTGAGCTGATTTCAGTTCAGATTTATAGCAGAGGGAGAAAAACTGGATGAAAATGGCGAAAAATATCATCTCTGATGTAGAAAATGAACATGTAGAGATAATTTCAATCCAACGGTCCCTGAACTGCACACAGGTCTGCTCACATCCACAGAAAATCTGATGAAACTCAGGCTTTAAATTTCCATCAGGTTTCAGTCCTCTGTTAGTTTAAACTCTAACTCTGTTAGAAAATATTTGTGCATCTTAACCCCTCAAGCCCGGCGGGCCCGGTCCAGGGCCCAACTGACACCTGCTCATGTTTATCTATTCATAGAAATGGCCAAAACACAGTCACCTGGTGTTTCATCCACATGCCTTCCAAATTGAGCTTTAAAATGTCTAAAAAATGTTTTATAGCTGTTCAAACAAATAAAATGATATTTAAAATTCCACCTGACATGTGTGACTCTGCGGGAGTAATGAAACAGCAGCTTTTCATTTTTAGCCCCGCCTCCTAATGGCCAGCATCATTGGAAACTAGAGGCTCAGACCTTTCCAAGGAGGGGTCGGAGGTCATTGTGAGACCACTTCAGGTGATGTAACCGGCATGCTTTACATAAGCTTGCTCTGTTATTATTATTTTCTATTTGGTTTGGTGATATTATTGGTAAATTTCAATGAAATAACGGATAAATCTTAGGAGCAAAGGCTTTGTCTCATGCAGAAGGTCTCTAATAATGGAAATCAGCTCATTTGTCTTAACAGATTCCCTTTTATGGGTAGAAAAATACATTTTTAGCACTTTTGTCACTGTGCCCTAATCTCCTCCAGCACACTCCCCACTAAAACCTTTAGGGAACAAACTTGCTTCGACTTATCCAGTCCAAATTTACTTGAGTCATAGATCCAAAATGCTGCAGCCAGAGTTCTGATGAAAATGAAAAAGAGAGATCATATCTCTCCTATCCTGGCTTCTCTTCATTGGCTTCCTGTTAAATCCAGAATAGAATTTAAAATCCTCCTTCTCACATAT